CAGGTCCACCCTTCAGAGTATTCAACAGGCACCTTCACCGTTGTTGTGCAAAGGTGAGTCTGTCCGCTTGTCTGCCTGTCTGCCTGTTCACGTCTTTTACACACACACACACACACACACACACACACACACACACACACACACACACACACACAGTCAGACACACACACACACGCACACTCACAGACACACACAACACACAAACAAATTTTGTTCGGCTCTCGTGTCTAACATGGCATTGGTGCTTGCCATCACATATGCGTGTGTGTGTGCAGCGTCACAAAGGAGGAGAAAGCGCAGTATGATCAGTTGCGCCAGCAACAGGAACAGGAAGCACGTGACAGGCAGGCAGAGGAGCAAGAGGCAGCCAAACAGACACAGCGGGACCTGGCCGAAGTAAGGAAACGATGGCGCGAAGCAGCACAACAACAGCAAGATCGGTACAGTGACCACCAACAACAACAGCAGCAGCAGCAGCAGCAGCAGCAGCAGCAGCAACAGCGGATATCGCAAGATGAAGACGACAAGCGCAACCCAAATGATACACAGCAGCGCCAACAGCAACACGACACCACCGGCCAACGCAGCAATGCCCAGGCACCATGGACAACGATGGGGAGGAACAGCGGTACTGAGAACGGCAACACGCCAGCTGGGGACGACATGGTGTCAACTGGCATCTCCAGGGGTCTCAGAATCGCAGACACCGTTGCCACCTTTTTCGATAAGGACAGCCAGCTCCGCAAAGGTATGGGGGTGTGTGTGTGTGTGTGTGTGTGTGTGTGTGTGTGTGTGTGTGTGTGTGTGTGTGTGTGTGTGTGTGTGTGTGTGTGTGTGTGTGTGTGTGTGTCCGTCTGTCTGTCTGTCTGTCTGCCTTAACACCCGTTTTTTACGTCGCCGGGGCATACATTGCACATCACGATGGCTTCACTTTCGCTTCCTCACCCATACATGTGTACGTGCAGATGTGGTTGAACGCGTGAAACGGGGTGCAGAGCAGCAAGCACAGAGCTTTGGCAGAGCGTATGATGTCCTCCTCAGCAGGCGGACTGTGGACAAGGTGGGTGGTTGTGTCTGTCTCTGTCTGTCTGTTTGTCTGTCTGTCTGTCTGTCTGTCTGTCTGCCGTTACGCCCACATGAGTGAGGCTTATGCTTGGTTGCTTCCAGAATGATGGTACGGCCTTCCTCCCCACGAGTTCTCTTCTCTCACCTGCATCCCCCACTTTCTCCTCTCCCCCCAACCGACCCACCAACCAACCAACTCACCAACCAACCAATCACATGCACCAATCCACCCACCACCTCAAATGTGCGCAGGCCTCGGATATCGTGAAGAAGACGCCAGCAACAGCCCGCCGCGCCTGGGACTGGCTCCTCTCCGTCGTGTCAAGCTGAATAAACACGTGTGTGGGTGTGTGTCTGTACATGTGCGTCTGTTTTCGTGTGTGTGTCTCTCTCTCTCTCTCTCTCTCTCTCTCTCTCTCTCTCTCTCTCTCTCTCTCTCTCTCTCTCTCTCTCTCTCTCTCTCTCTCTCTCTGTGCCTGTGCCGGGTGTCGCACACGTGCGTGGCTGCTCTTCTCTTCCCTCCATCACCACCTCCCCTTCCCTTCTCCCCTTCTTCCCCCGGTTCACCGTCCCCAGGTGTCTCACGCAACACCAGATCACGACAAGTTATGCTCATCCTATCCGCGTGTATGTACGTATGTATGGGTACGAATGCGTGTGCGTCACGTCAGTGTTCACCAATAACACAATCGAACGCAACGAGCTGAAAGCACACGGCCACGGCACCACCTAAATTCCCACGTCACGTCACATCACATCACATCACTGCACTCCTCTCAACCCCGAAATCATCACTGCACACACGAGTGAACAACACGCGACACAACTCGTAAATCAAGGAATGCGGCGGAGATAATACGAGTGTCCGTGCTTGCTGCCTGAAATCCACGTGCCCTTCCAAGCAATAATTACATGATACATGATACACACACGACACCACAGGAAGCTGGCCTCTTTCTGAAACAATCACAAGAACAAGAACAAGTACATGTGTGTGTGGGTGTGTGTCACAGCTCTGTTGAGCGGGCTGTGACCGTTTGATCGTCCCGCAAATCCACCAGCACTTCACCACGACCACGACCACCATCCCCACGACCACCGCCGTAACCACCACCATCTCCATGACCGCCGCCATTACCACCATCACCGCCATCCTTGCGCTTCGCCCGTCTGCTGCTGCCATGGAACATGGGCCCAAACGGCCCGCTTTGACGCTTGCTACTCACACCACCACCACAACCACCACCACCATTTCTGTTGCCACTGTGATGAGTGTGGCTGTTGGTGTGGCGCTCCCCGCCCAGCTGCTGCACCATCGCCTGCAGCTCCTGTGACACTTGCGTGAACGTTGGTCGTTGTGTCGGCTCGTGCACCCAGCAACGCTGCATCAGCGACACGTATGCGTCATCAACCGCCCTCGCACGCTCCTCATCAACACCGTCGTCACCACGCCCCCTTTCCAATAAAGAAGGTGGACAGGCAGGCCGCTCCCTCCTGTCCACAACAGCATCGCGCAACTGCCCAAAGAATCTGTACTCTGCATACGGCACGTCGCGTGCAAGCGTCTCCCACATGACCAGCCCAAAGCTGTACACGTCCACAGCGAGCGAGTAGGGCTGTCCCGCCAGCACTTCTGGCGCCGACCAGTGCAGTGTTCCATATGTGCTCGTCGTGTTCACATACACGCGCGCATTTGCGTCGGGCATTTGCGCACCAGGCGCCTGGTTGGTGTTGTTGTTGCTGCTGTTGCTGTTGGTGGTAGTGCTGTTGTTGCTGCTGAACACGCTGCCCGTGTTGTTGGGCGTGGTGCTGGCGCTGCTGTCTGCGCCACTCCCATCATCGCCGTCACCAGCACCACCATCACCATCACCACCAGCATCAGCAACATCAGCAACACTGCTTGTGAAACGACGCTTCAACCGCCACCCAACACCGCCACCACCACCGTTACTGCTGCCATTATCATCATCACCACCAGTGCTGGTGCTGGTGCTTGGGTTGGCACCTCTGCGCCTGTTGCGGCGTGTGTCCTGTGCACTGTTTGTCTTGCACAGCAGCTTCTTCGCCGTGGTGAAATCAGCCACCTTCACCACCCAGTTGTCCGTCACCAGCAGGTTCATACTCTTCAAGTCCCGGTGGATGCGCGGCGGGTTGAGCCCGTGCAGGTACTCCATGCCACACGCCGTGTCCCGCATAAACGCAACACGCCGCCGCTGGGTGATGGCGCTGCCACTGCCGCTGGTGCCACTGCTGCTGCTGGTGTTGTGGATGTGGTCGTGGAGTGAGCCGCGCTGCACGTATTCCATCACAATCAACGACTCCGACCCGCCAACATACGCGCCGAGGAAGAACACGACGTTGCTGGACGTGGTGGTGGTGGGGTGGTGGTGGTGGTCGAGACAAAACGAAAGAATTGGCGCAAGTGAGCTGGTGTGGTTTGAACTTGGAGAGAGGAGACAAACGAGCGCGCAAGCAACAGCGAGTCACACTCACACGCAGACACACACAACACACAAGCAGCACAGCATTACGCAGCACGGCCTACAACACAACACAACACAAACACAACACAACGCAACGCAACACAACACAACACAACGCAACACACCAACACAACAACGTAACAACGCAACAACGCAACAACGCAACAACAAGACTGACCGGTGCCTGAGGGTCTTCATGAAGCGAATCTCGCCCTCAAAGGCGTGCATGGTCTCCTCGTCCAGCAAGTTCGTGTGTAGCTTCTTCACAGCAACGCGCTCGTCGCGCACCAGCCACGTTGCCAGCCACACCTCGCCAAACCCGCCCTCGCCGAGTCGATGGTGATACACGAGGTCGTCCGGGCTCACCTCCCACGACGCGTGCAGCTCAAGCAGTTCATCGTCCTTCTCACTCAGCAGCCGCTGCTGCAGGGCGGAGGTGGTGCGCAGACGCGTGAAGTACCGGTACACGCGCCCCGACGTCAGCAGTGCGACCAGCAGCAGCAGTGGCAGCAGCGTGACGAGCAGCACGCGCTGGGTGCTGACGTTGTTGCACCTGTCGCCGTAGAAGAACGAGCGACAGTGGCAGCGGCAGCGCGCCTTGTTCTCGACAAACTCAATCTGCTGATGCGTTGCATGCACGCAATACCCGGGCACGCACATCTGGCATGACGTGGAGCTCAGGCCCAACGTAGTTGTTGCGTTCTGCCGCCGCGTGCCAACAGGACAGGGCGTACACGTTTCTTGCGTCAGGTCTGCTCGGAAGGAGTACTCGTCACACCGCGCGCACGTTTCGTTGAGAAACGACGACGCCACGCCCCACCCTGCGTTGCAGCTGGGGCGCATCACGTGGATGCTGTCTGTCAGCCGCCCATTACCGGCACCGCCAACAGCAACAAACGCGCCCTTGTGTGCAAAGCACGCCGCGCCATATGTTGCGTCAGGGCGCAGCGTGGGCACGCGGTTGTCATCGCCAATCTCAGACCACGTTGGCTCGCCCTCGTTCATCTCCAGCATCCACGTCGACTGCCAAGGGCGGCCGTCAATGTGCCCGCCGTGCATGACGAGCCGTGACGCCCCCACCTGTGCACTGCACGCGCTGGATCGCGGCGCCGGCCACGCGTCCTCGTCCAGCGTCTGCAGCGTCCGCACGGTGATGTTTCGGATGAGCTTCTCCGGGTCCGGAACAATCTGCCGGAAGGTGACGTCATCGCACGTGCACGCCTCCCACGGCACGCGGCAGCCGACCGCAAACATGTCGTGCGTGCCCTGCGGCGCACTGTCGCGGCCATTGTACCCGCCAAAGATGACCACTTCCTCTCTGCCGTCGCTGTGTGTGCGCAACATCTCCATCGCCGCCAGCGTCGGCTGGTGCGTTGCAGAGGGCACATTGCAGCCAACCCACCCCTGCTGGGGTGTCCAGAAGTGCAGCAGGGGCATGGCGAGGACGGGGACGTTCGCACCACCAGTCGGGATACCGCCAACGGCAATGACGGTGGAGCCACGCCTGAAGCAGCGGTGGCCGTACATGTGCAGCGACGCGTACGTCGGGTTGTCGTCCAGGGGGCTCGTCACATTGGCAGAGCTCCTGTAGTTGCGGAGGGAGGTAGGTGGTGGGCGGAGGGAGGATGTGGGGAGAGGTGAGAGGTGGGGAGAGGGGAGTTATGGGAAAGGCGTGGAGACAATGCAGTGCAAGCGCAACGCTCAGTGCACGTTATGCAAACAACCGCAAGCGCACACACGCACGCACGCACACACACGCACGCACGCATACGCACACACACGCACGCACGCATACGCACACACACGCACGCACGCACGCACGCACATGTAACCACACACACATCGCCACCACATCCTAGTGGTGCAGCTTACACATGGAAGAAGTAGTCGTCGAGGGCCGGGTACTGGTTGGACGTCGTGCCGCCGGCAATCAACACGTCATCGCTCTCAGGAACATTCACGAGACAGAACCCGAAACGCGCAAACACGGCGTTTCGCGGGTTGGGGCGCGTGACGAACGTGGGCATGTCGCCCAGCTTGCGTATGTCGAGTTTGTCTGGAATGAGCAGCCAGGCCGTGTCGTCGGGACCAGGGGACGCGCCGCCAGCGAGCAGGAAATGCGAATCGTCCAGCTGCACCACCTCCGCATACGATCTACCATGGTGGTGGTGGTGGTGGTGGTGGTGGTGGTGGTGGTCGTGGTGGTCGTGGTGGTGGTCGTGGTGGTGTGAAGGGAGCGATCATGTGAGGGTTGGGGAGAGGAGTGAAAGGGAGAGAGTGAAAGGGAGGGAGAGAAAATAGTGGGGTGGTGGGATGCACAATATCGCAACGCAGACATGCATGTTGACACGTAGGCACATGCTTGAACCTGTGTGAGGGTTGCGTAAACGCCTGGAGGACGCTGAAGGACATGACGCGGTTGTTGAAGTCAAACACTTCCCACACAGGAGCAAGGTCCCCCGTCGCGTCGTTGAGGAACACGCCGGACAGCACACCGCGCCCGTTGTGCACCTCCGCAAACGCAAACCCGCCGCCGAGCGCAAAGCTGCGGAGCGTCTCTCTGTTGGGAGGAAGAGAGAGAGAGAGAGAGAGTGTGTGTGTGTGTGTGTGTGTGTGTGTGTGTGTGTGAAAGGTGAAAGCATGTACATCAACAAAGGCCAAGCACTTGACAACTGACACATTGATGCACGCACACGCACACGCATACACTCACGCACGCACGCACACATCCTCTCCCACCCAAAAGAACACGGGTGCGGCGTACCCTGCCGACCACGGGTGGTCAGCGCTGGGGAAGACGTTTGCCAAGCGCCACACAAACTGCTGGTGATCGGTGCCGGGGACAAACTGGCCCTGCAGTGATATCAGCTGTGGTGGTGGTTGTGAAATGTGTGATTGGTGAGCTTAATGTTACATGGACGTGAAAACAACACACACACACCCATGGACAAGCACGCACACACACACACGCACTCACACACGCACGTACACACACCCATCAACAAGCACGCACACACACACGCACTCACACACTCACTCACACACGCACACCCATCGACAAACACGCACAATTGCACACATACATTCTCTGTCATACACACGCAACAGCGCACCTTTCTGCCTTTGTCAAAGTGGCTGCCCGGGCTCGGAGTCAGGAAGTAGTGGATGGTGTCGTCGGCAACAGCGTCAATGGCGCCGCGCGTGTATGCTTGCGGCACCGGTGACACTTGCACGTGCTCAAACACAAGCGCCGTGCCTTCGGTCACATCGCCACGTGGGACTGTTGCCGCGAGCATGTCTGTGTTGACCACTTGCTCCTCCGTGTACCCGCCAAAGAGAATCAGCTGCCTGTCTGCGGTAAGCAAGCTCATGTGGTGATACACGAGCTGCGGTGCGCCCTGCACCTCAAGCCGCGTCCACATGCGCGTACGAATATCAAACAAGTGCATGTCGCGCAGGGGATCGATGCAGATGAAGAAGAAGCGAACACGCGCCGTCGGGTCGTCCTGGATCTTGTGGTCGCCGCACCCGCCGTGAATGATAAACTGGAACTCGTTCAGCTTCACCATGGCGTGTCCGTGGCGCGGCTGGGGCGGGTTCTGTGTCTGCACGGGCTCCCAGTGGCACTCGAAGATGCGCTTGGCAAAGTTGGCGTAGATGTTGACCAAGAACAGCTCCTGCATGTTCTCAAACTTGTTGGGACCCTCTCCGGTGGGGGTGAGCCCGCCGTAGATGAAGATGCCCTCGTGATCAGCAAACTGCACAGAGGTGTGCAGCGTGAAGCCAGACGGCGACACATCAGGCGTAAGGTCCCGGCACCGGCGCCACGTCTCCACGGAATGGATCTGGATCTGGTTCACCCCAATGTTGCCCGGCACGCTGTCCCACTTGGTGCCGCCGAGCTGGATGAGGCGGGTGAGGTTGGCCACCGTCGTGCCTTGCAGATCCTCTTGGTGCTGGAAGGTGACCACCTCTGTCGTGTGGTAGAGCACTGGCGTGTACTGCAGACTTGGGACCTCCACGGGCGAGAACCGGTTCTTGAGCACGGGCCCAGACACGGGCGCACCCTCGTCGCCTTCCTCGTCATCGTTGCTGTTGATGATGTCGTTGCTGTTGTCGTTGTGGATGATGTCGTTGCTGTTGTCGTTGTGGATGATGTCGCTCCGTTTGATGCGGCTGCTGCTACTGCTGCGGACAGGGAACCCGCCGATCAGTGGATCTGGCGCCAAAGCCTGTGCGTTGTTGTTATTGTAGTTGTTGTTGCTGGTGTAATTGTTGTTGTTGCCGTTGTTGTTGTTGCTGCTGTGATTGCCATCTCGCCACTCACTGTCGCTTGTGGCCACACAACCACATGGGGGAAGAACACCAGTTGCCACCACCACAAGCAGTACCACCAACGCAACCAAGGACACCTTCATCGTGGTTGTCAGTGTGTTGGTCCAGCTGGTGTGTCGCCTGTGGTCTGGTTCCTTGTTTCTTTGTTTGCTTGCTTTTCTTGCTTGCTTGCTTCTTGCTTGCTCGCTTGTGCTGTTCGTGGTGGTCGTGCTGCGAGCGCACAGTGTTGCGAGCACGGGGATGGTGTTAATGCTGCATCGAATCACATGTGATAATTCAAAACTTTCACACGGCTGTGGTTGTTGTGGCAGGCCGACACAACAACAACAACAGTCACGAGCCAGCACCTGCTCAGTGTCGGCAACGGAAGGTCTGGAAGGCTTCGAGCCAGTGCGTGTCGTTGGTACACGTCACTATAGGCACAGGATCGATGGCTGCGCTGTACAACGCGTGTGTGGAGAACGAGCTCGGGATCGTCCAGCTCTTGCTGCAGCACGGATGCGATGTGAACTTTGACACGGGCATGGTCAGTGAGTGTCATGTAATGTAACGTTGCACATCACAGCCAATGTTGCATCTGTTGGAATGGCTGTGCTCGTGCTTGTGAGCGTGGGTATACTTTGCGTGAGTGGTGATGGTGTGGTGGAGAGGGAGATGGGCCTGGTGTTAGTGGTGCTGCGGTGTTGTGGTGTTGTGTGAGGCGGGATCAGTGGCGTGCGAGGCGCACATGGTGCAAAATGTCACACTGCGTGTCACTGCCCTTGATTTGAGCAGGGCGTGACGCCGCTTCATGCAGCGAGCGGCCGTGGGCACGAGGCCATCGTGCGCGTGCTGCTGGAGAATGGTGCCAATGTCAACAAGATGGCCAAGCTGTCCGAGTTTAAGGACCATGTCCCCACGCCGTCCGATCACGCACCACCGGTCGAGCACGGCGTACGTGTTGTGTGTGGGGGTGGGGGCAAGGGGAGTGGGTGAGGTTGTCTGGGTGTGTATGTGTGTGTGTGTGTGTGTCTGTGTCTGTGTTCTGCGTGTGTGTGTGTGTGTGTGTGTGTGTGTGTGTGTGTGTGTAACAGTGAGAGTGAGAGAAACTGTATGTACAGGTCCTTCTGTCCGTGTGATACTGTGTGTCCTGCTTCCAGAGCCGTCCTTGTGCTTGCCGATGTCAAGCTGTTTGTTATGTTTGATCTTCTCTCCTTCGTTGCCCCTTCACGGTGTACCTGTGCGTCTTTGCCTCTCTCTCACCTACACACACTCTCACGCACGCTCATCACTGGCCTGTCTCATCTCGATCGCGTGCGCAGGGGTGGACACCGCTGCACCTGTCCATCGGCGAGGGCCAGGACCGCGTGGTGCGGCTGCTGCTGGAGCACGGCGCTGGCGTCGATAACACAGACGGATACGTAAGACAGTGGTCATGGTGGCAGTGGTGACGATATTGGTACTGGTGTTGCTTGCTGGTGCTGGTAGTGCGCTTCATGCATGCTGTTGGGACCAGGTGTCTGTCTGTTCGCAGAAGCAGATGCGCTCACGCAACCACTGCATACTGTGTACGTGCTTCCTCACACGCGCGTGCGAACGCGACCTGTCTGCCTACACGTGGCACAGGGCTTCACACCGCTGCACTATGCAAGCCACCGCGGGTTTGCGTCCATTGTGAAGATTCTGCTGGAACACGGCGCCGACGTCAACCACGCAGCACTCAAGGTGCAGCCGTGTCGTTGTGTGTGTGTGTGTGTCTGTGTCTGTGTGTCTGTGTGTCTGTGTGTCTGTGTGTCTGTGTGTGTATGTGTCTGTCTGTCTGTCTGTCTGTGTGTGTGTGTGTGTCTGTCTGTCTGTGTCACTGTCATTGTAACGGCCTTGAGAGAAGTTGTCAACGCGTCCCATGACAAGATATACCAACCCGACCATTCACACATTCCCTACATCACATCACCGCCACCAGGATGTGGCCCCCCATCCACAGCTGCAGCATCAGGGCCGCACGCCGCTGTTCTCTGCCTGCGAGCAAGGTCGGCTGGATGTGGTCCAGGCCCTTCTTGATCACGGCGGTGACGTCCACGCAACAGACAAATACGTGAGCCTGCACTCGTGCTGATGGGATTTGGGGGGGGGGGATG